TATGAGTCGGGGCCGACTCGATGGCAAACAACAACAACAACAACAAATATATATATATATATATATATATATGAAGGTCACATTGGTCATTGCAATATAATAAGGAATTGTTAGAATGGATATTTTTAGGTAATATGGGAAGTATGAAGAGTTCTTACTTCCTAATTTAACTCCAAAATCTAAGGCTAGACTTAAAGGTGTAAGCAGAACACTTTGTGAAGGTGTAAGCAGAAAAAGAACAGGCATGTATTTCTGAAATAACCTTCAAACTACATGAGAACGAACTAGAAAAGGCTAGATAGAAAAAAGGAGGCAGTTAGGAGATCACTGCAAGGCTATTGGTGAGATGCAAGGAGAGTCCACATTATGACCAAACCAAACCAAACACTGCCAACAAGTTGATTTTGACTCATAGTGACCCCCATTGGGTTTCCAAAACTGTAAACCTTTACAGAAACAGACTGCCTCTTCTTTCTTCCATGAAACGACATTTTGGTTAACAGTCAAATGTCTTAAGCACTACACCACCAAAGCTCCTTACATTATGATAAGGGCAGTGGAAACAGAGAGGACAAGGTATTAAGAAGGCAGAAGGCAGGCAGAGGACTAGCAAGCAAATCTGGTAATTCTGGCTTTGAACACGTTGAGTTTGAGATGCCTACAGAAACTTCGTGAGCTCTGGTGGCATAGTGCCTAAGGCATTTGACTGCTAACCAGAAGGCTGGTAGTTCAAACCACCAGCCACTCCTCGGAAGGAAGTGCAATCTACTTCCATAGTGATACCGCCTTGGAAACCCAAGGCAGGGTCTCTATGAGTCAGGTTCGACTCGACAGCAGTGTGTTTGGTTTTTGGTACAGAAGCTTCTGGAGTTCAATCCAATAGACAACTAGTTGTTCCGCAGCTTGTGAGAGAGGTGAGTGCTGCCATATTTTGGCTCAAGCTCCTTTGAAAGGTGGGCATTACCTTCAGAGAGAGAGAGTTGTTTTGAGATTAGAAATTACAAACGCACGGATCTCTAATGAACCATAACCAAGAATATTGCACATAAAGAACACACTTGTTCTTTAAAGGGCTATAACTGTTGTAAGCAAACCCTGGAAAGGAGCCCTCACAACAGAAAGGGAAGAAACATTTGCCTTGTGTAGTTCTGCTATGATTGTGCCAAAATTTTTTATTTTCTTTGCAAGAAAATCATACATTCCTTACCCCTATATCATCATGTTTTCTATCTGCAGATATCCATGAGGGAAAAGAAAAAATTCAAAACTCATACAGTGAGTAGAACTAAACTATTTAAATTCTTCTTTCACCTTATTTAATAATAAGCACCTATGAAGTTTTCACTCTCTTAGTTACTACTTGACCAAGAAAATTATGAAAAGGTCCATACACATAATGCATGTTGATTGTGGCTAAACCAAAGCCCTGGTTGTGGTTAAGTCGATCACCCTTTGACACAAGGGACAGCTGCAACACAAACAAGAATTCCTCCTCTAATAGGTTTTGCTGGCCTTCTTTTGGCATGCTACTATTTTGGCTAAATTACCATTCGAGTCCTGGTAATCTCTTGTTAGAAAAATTTGCCAATTGAAGTTGTCAGGTTATTGCTAACAAGTTCACTGAGTATCAAATATGTGATTCAGAAACTAAGGCATTTGACTGCTGACCAGAAGGCTGGCAGTTCAAACCTACCGGCCACTCCTCGGAAGGAAATTGAGCAATCTATGTCCATAGTGATACTGCCTTGGAAACCCAAGGAGGGGTCACTATGAGTAGGATTCGACTCGACGGCATGAGTTTAGTTTGGTTTTTTGTTTTAGATGAAATATATCTGCTAGGTAGCATAGTGCCTAAGGCACTTGACTGCTAACCAGAAGGCTGGCGGTTCAA